ATGATCAGGATTGTGAAAAACCCCAGGAATTCAGGACAGGACTAAGGATTCCAGAGACAGAGACAAGAGAAGCAGGGTCAAGAACGGGCTTCAAATGGCAGAATTTAGACAAGACATATAAAATTGGGAAGCAAGAGATGACCCCCCCCCCATATTCAGAACCCCATCCTTCTGATCAGGGCTTCTCTGCCCAGCTCATCCATTCAGATATCTTCCTTTGTAGTTCTGATTCGTCTGGAACTCACTGAGTACTGGAACTCACTCACAGGAATCCTCCTGCCTCATCCTACTGAGTTCCAGGATAAGTCATGCATCATCCTTGGTTAGAACTGACCTTTTTTAAATCCAGTAAAGATCCTTGCAGTATCCTCCTGAGTTTGTCAGTCCCTAGGCCACTCTGTGCTTGATATGACCCTTTAGCCTGCTTATGTTCCTGATTCCCTGGGCACTGACCCAAAACAGCACTCTGAGTTGGTATTAAGTATGGCAGGGCTAAAATTAGGGCTGTTTCCATAGCTATCTACACTTCTATGGAGTAAATCTGTTTGGCTCCCAAGTGGAATGAAAGTCATGTTTCCATTCTGACTGCAAAGTAACCCTGAAATCTGGGAAACCAAACCTGCTCATATGTGCCAGTGCTACTGAGCCTTCCAAACCCCTTGGGCCCTTATCAGTGCAAGCAACTACCATGGTCATATACCCATGAAGAACCACAAAACATCAAGCAGGAAAGGCAAGGAGGGATACTGCAACTTGGGACACAAAAGGGCTAACATGTGCCACCAGCACCTCAGGGTTCCTGCCTCATGCTAGAGGGAGGGAATGTTCTTTCCATCCTATTCCAGAAACAGGAAGACTAAGGAATCCACTCACCTGCAACCTAACATACCATGCAAAGCCAAGAGTTAAGAAATTTGGCTTCAATTTGTTCAGAGAAACATCCCAGGACTCTGAAGCCAAAGGTGAAGATAGAGTGACCCCAGACCTAGCTAGTAGTGATTGCTACTGCTTCCTTCTAAGGCTCTGTGCTTGGAGTTTTAGGGGATAATCCCTGTACCCAAGTTAGGGGTTCAGATGTGTATCCACACATCTGATATTAGGTCCAAACCATTAGGTATATTAGGTCCAAACCATTAGCACTCTAGAATGTGACCTTATTTGGAAACAGAATTACTGCAAATATAATTCAGGTGAGGTATACAGGGGTAGGATAGACCCTTAGACTACATGGCTGATGGTATAAGCAGGTACAGAGGGAAAGATGGGGATAAGGCCTAGTGAACCCAATGATGCTTCCACCAGCCAAGGAGCACAAAGGACAGCAGTAAGCCAGCAGAGGCTAGGAAAACACATGGAAGGACCCCTGGGTGGTCCTGACAATTCACTGAACTTCAGACTTCTGGCCTCTTAACTTGTGAGACAATAAACATCTGTGAATCTGAGCCACCCCTTTGTAGCACTTTATTAAGTCCAGTTCTAGGAGACTCATTGTCCTTGTTATAATGTCATGTGACATAGGCTCTGACTCATCTGAGTTTTCCATGAAGTCAGTGAAACTTCATTAACAGCAAATAACACCAGCAGTGAATACCAATAGTGATCCTGAATGCTTTATACATAGTAACTCATTTAATCCTGAACAACCTCCTGAGTCTGTGGCATGCTATAGGAGAGGAAACTCATTCACAGAGAAGTTAAGTACCTTGCTCAATGTCACAAAGTTGTATGTGATGAAATCCGAATTAAAATTCAGACTTAGAATGTTCTTTGCCAACAGTAACCACCTAAATCAAGAAGTAATTGATGGAGATTTACTCTCTGGTGGTCAGGTTTCAAACCCCTTGGCCTCTTTATCCATTTTGTATTTATTCCACTTGCCTGTGCAGAATGTCCTGTACTAGGTAACCACACAAAACAACACTTGAATTAAACTGCACTGGCTTCCACACGTCTCCTAATTTCAGCACCAGTTCATATGGCAACAGATATTAGGAAAGGAACTTGGGCATCTCCAAGGAGGCAGAGGAAAACAGCTCATTTTTCACAACGTTTTTCTGTATCTGGAATTCAATTAACATTTAATGTACACCTGTGATGTGACAGCCCGATGTCAGGCAAGTACACAAGCGACAGCCCCTGCTCAATCTGGAAGGATATAGAAAGGGACAAACTCCCAGAAATTTTGGTAAGTACCAGGACTGAAGTTAGAACCCAGGTGCAACTGCAGCATAGTGGGGTTGAACTTAGATCTGCGCTGGTTAAGTGGGGAGGGCTTCAGGGCAGGGCATGGAAACCTCAACCTTCATTTGTAGCTTTTCCAACACTGCCATGACATAAGCATACCAATACAGAATGCATCTTCCCTCTTCCTCCCTCTCTGAAACTTTTTCCTAAAACAATGAGCTTTTTCTTTTTTTTTTTTCCCCCCACTGAAGAGGTAGAGAAATTCAACACTAGACTTTGGGTTACTGTTCTATAATGAAGGATGTGGAGTTAGTTGATCACCTTTAGAAAATATTTAAGAGCAGAGCTAGGTAAGTTCATAGACCACCAGCAATGGTGTTATGGCATTAAACTCTTCAATATAAAGCAAACAGCACAGGGAAAGGTGGGGAAGATCTAGAAGCATCTAGAGAGAAAGTATCAAATCAGACAGCCATTATCATTACCTGCACAGAAAGCTGGCTTGACCATCATGAGAGCTATGTGGCAAAGCAGAAATAACCAACATACCCTTAGACTTGACCCTGCCTCCATGAGCATCTATGCCCTACAGAGCCTTTCTTAGAGCATGTGAGCAGAGGGCTTAGGGCCTTGCCCAGCATAAGGCAGACATTTGATTGATGCACCTCATCTCCATCTAAGAATTCAACATAGTGCCTGGGAAAATAAAAGGCAGCTGCCCTTCTCCTTCAGCACCACCATGGATGGCTACCACCTCAAGCTGTATTACTTATGTTCTCGAACCCGCATTTATACCCTAGAAAGCACCCTAGAATGTAAGAACTAGATATTAAGCAGAGGGCATCTAAAGGCCTCACTCTTCTCCTGCTGGGAACTGGAGGAGGAGCCAGAGCAGAGTGAGAGGCAGCCAAAGAGCTTTACCTAACCTAACTGAGAAAACAAGCCTCTTCCATTAAACCCAAACAAAAACCAGAAAGCTGGCCCACTCACCTCTGACCCAGCTCCTCAGGGAGCCCTGACAGTTCTTAAGGACAGGGACTTGGTCATGTCTCTCAGCCAAGATGACAAGATCCACACAGCTGAAGCAATCATGCAGGTCTGAATCCGTGTTTGGTGTTATTATTCCTGCCCTGTCCACAAAAAGCCCTTGGATCAGCCTGAGTACTTCTTTTTTTAATGTCTCCAGCACTCCATAGAGGCACGCCTAGATGAGCAAGCATAAGCTCTTTCTGGATGAAAGAGACACATGGTGGAGTTTATTTGTGTCAACTTTTCTGAATAGTGTCAAAGGGAATACAGGGATGGAAAGGAATTCACATCAGTTCATGGGGACCTTGCTAGAAGCTAGGATGTAGAAGGTAGTAAAATCTGGATCTGGGCTAGGGGTCCTGACCCACACAGTCTTCCAGGGAGTGCAGAGCAAGGATGCTGAGCTCAGAGTGTTCTATGTCCCTAGGGCCCATCCTCCACAGAATTGTGGCACTGAAACTGTCTGACCAGTTCTGATGGCCCTTCTTTACATTCCCACTGCTCACTGCCTACATTCTTGCCCTCTTCCCTCCCCCTACACTCCCCAAGCAGACCCAAGATCAGTCTTCCACCTCCAGACAAGTATAAATCACTGGTTTCTCCTCCTCTGCTGCCTGGATTCTCTCATCTCACCTCCCATCCTGACATTTCTCCTCCTCTCCCACCTCCACCATTCCTCTCTTCTGGTCCTGTTTTCCTTCCTCCCCACAAGCCTCATTTTTCTTGGCTGGTCTGTGCATTGTTAGGCTCCTGTAACCCCTGAATATGGGCCATCAGGACAGCAAAGAGTCAGAGAGTCTTAGGTTGATCAGGGCACACCTGTCAGCCAGGACCTAGTATAACAGACTGGGGAGCCAGTTTTCATTTCTCTAATCTTCTCTGTGGTGAGGAAAGATGCTTCATAGGATGACATGACCTCGTAACTTTCCCCCCAAAGTATCAGGGTCTGACCCAAATAACCAGGTAAAGCAAATGTGACAAATGAAACTTCCAGTCTTCGGGTTCTAGCTACGCTTAGTATTTTGAATGGACCAAAAAATGAATGATAATGGTCCCATTTTCCCCAGAATTATTTAGGGGTGAGGGGAGTATGTAAGTTACATTTCTCATTGCTATGACAAAATAACTGATAAAAGCCACTTCTGGGAGGGAGAAGGCATTATGCATTTATGATAAGGAAAGTGTGGTGGCAAGAACATGAGGTGGCTATGCTACAGTCAGAAAGCACAGTGAGATGAACCCTAGTGTTCACTTTCTACCTTTCAGTCAGTCCAGTATGCCAACTCAAGGAGTGATGCTGCCTGCATTCAGGATGGGTCTTTCCAGTGCAATGAAGCGAATCAAGATAACCCTTCACAGCATGCTCAGAGGCTTATCTCCTGGGTGATTCAAAATCCCACCAGGTTGACAATATTAACTGCCACATGCTCTTTAGTTGGCAAGCCCCAAATGGTTCTGCCACCACTCACAGGAAAACAGTAAGTCAAGTGCCTCTGGTTCAAATCCTACCTCAGCTTCCTACTGGCTGTAGAAGTCTGGGGCAGGAACATAGCTAGTCTGTGCCTCAATCTCCCTGTCTAAAAACCATGAATAATAAACTACCTTCTGCTCCTGAGTGCTCCAGAATTCACAAACAGCTGCATTGCAGTTTTAGGAATGTTTAATGTGCATCAAGCTTTCAATGGGATATTCTAAGTGCTTTACTCTGAATAGTGAACACAACCTGAACAGATTCAGACTGTAGTGATTTCCATTATGCTCAGGATCAGAGAGGTCAAGAAACTTACCCAAACTCACATGGCTAAGCAGAGGATGCAGGACTTTCTTCCCCTGAAGTTCCAGAGAAATTCCAAGCAGTCTCTGCTAGAGCGCTATGATGTCATGCCCTAAGGACAGCACAGGGTAAGTTGTTCGTTCTGTAACTAGGGTCATACTTATAAACTATACCGGCTTCATTTCTAAGAATCCCTGCCTCCAGAGACAAGATCTTATTTGGCATTTGGGGAGTTAAATTCTAGTTCCAGTGGCATGGCTTGTGCCTCTGCCCACTTCCCACCCCCATCACTGTGATGAACGAATATGGCTGAGGGAGCTGCTCCCAGCTCTATAAGACAAGCTGCAGTCTCTGGGCCAAAGAGGCTGAGAAGATCTCCATCCCAAAATTGTTGGCAAAGCACTTTGTGGCTTGTGGCCAAATGTAGAATAGCAGCTACCACCTGTCCTTGACTGGGGAAGTATGGGTCAGAGGGCCATACCACGGACAGCAAAACTCCTCAGCTTGAATACATGTCACCTCAACCATCCAAGGGGACTCTGGAGGTGAGGGAGACTGCCCCCGTAGTGACCAGGCCTGATCCATCCCCTTATCATTAAAATCCAAGGGGACTGGACCTGCCTGGACTGAATCTACCAAGCTGAACTCAATCCTCAGGGGAGTCTTTGCCCTGGAGGAGATGGGAATGGGGCGCAGGAGGGAGGAGAACAAGGGAATCCGTGGCTGATATGTAAAATTAAATTAAATTATAAAATAAATTTAAAAAAAAGAATCTACACATGTAAAAAAAAAATTAAATAAATAAATAAAAGCATTATGAAAGAAAAAAAAATCCAAAACCATACAGAAGGAGACTCAGTCTCAGTAAGCCCTGCAGCAGTCAGGCAACCAGGGACTGAAGCTGGCATGGGGAAAACAGCACTTTGATGGGAGAGAGATGTCGAGCTGGTAAATTGAAGACACCTTATTGTAATTTGTTATGTCATGTTTAGTTGATATCCCTGGGAGGCCTGCTCTTTTTTCTTTGAAGGGAAATGGAGGACAAGTGGATCTGGGGGTGGTGAGGGAGAAAAGGAAGGGGACTGAGAATAGTGGAGAGAGGGGAAACTGGTCAGGATATAATGTGTGTAAAGAATAAAAATTAAAATAAAAAAAAATTGAAGACATCCCTTGCCAGTGCCCTGAGCATTTGCCATCAGCAAACAGAAGAAAAGCCCCTGCAATGAAGGACCCTTCTACCTCCTGCTCTGAAGACTCCTGTAGCCCCCATCCAAGATGGGCTCTGTTGGAAACTCTGGCAGGTGAAATGCTGCCATCAGTCCTGGGCCAGGAACCTGCTTGCCCCTGGTCCAGAAGCAATGGTTGTTCCTCACAGCTGTACAGCAGCCTCTCCCAAACAACATTCAACACGAATGTCCCTATCTTCAAATTGCAAACAAACGCCTTAAAAGAAAGCATCTGCAACAGTGATATTATGTGAGATGTCAGAGGAAACCTAGTCAGAAGTCAAGACACAAACCCCTGGGAGGGGCACGGGGGTGGATGCCAGGGCTGTCTGTGGTTTCGGTAATGTTGTCTTAGAGTTGATCACACAGGAACATGGCCTTTGGGAATGTCCACCAAGCTGCACAGTTGATAGCCTTAATTATCAACTCATTAGTTGAGAAATGCCTCCGAGATTAGTGAAGCACACCTCTGCATGTGTTTGTGGAGGCATTTCCTGAGATAGAGCACAAGGGCTCTGATCCAGTCAATGATGACATCCACTGACGGACTCAAAGTCTACCTAAACTGCCAGGAGGTGGTAGAAATGTTAATGGTGGGGCCTGGCAGAACGAAGTGGGTTGCTGAGGAGTGGAGTGCCTCTGGAGGATAATTTTGGACCTGGTCTCTTTCTGCTCTTCTTTCTGCTTCTAGGCTGCCATGCAGTGTGCTCAGCTTCCCCGGACCATGCTCTTCCTCCATTGTGTCTTGTCACAGACTGAAAGCAATAGTGCCATCTCACTGTGGACTGAGACTCTGGGCCAAAATACATCCTTTCAACTTTAAACTGTTTCTCTCAGGTGTCTGTCAACACTACAAAAAGACCAAATGACACATGAACCAGCCTCTGTGACAGTCCTCAACTTGGAGGAAGAATTCTAAATTTAAGCTGGGCAAGGTGATACACAATCCCAGCACACAGGAAATACAAAGGATCAGAAGTTCAAGGTCAGCCTCAGCTACACAGTGAGATTCAATCTAAAAAAAAAAAAATCAAGCAATCAAAACAAAAATCCACTATAGATATGAACACACCCAGTATCATTCTTTGTTTACCCAAGGTTATAGCCATAAGGCCACCATCCATCCAATGGTACAACCAGTACCTAGACATCATACAGGTGCCCAAATTTGGGGACTCACAAGTACGTTCACTCATTCCACAAAGACATCCTGAGTACCTACTGTGTGCCTGCACAGATCTAGAGATGGACAACAATCAAGAAAGCAATTTCTTTTAAGTTTATTTTATGATCCCAAACAGAGAGGACTAGGGACCACAAAAGAGGCCCTGCTTTGTGTTTAAGAATGCTACAGGTTGTGATGCCACATCTTTAATCCCAGCACTTGAGAAACAGAGGAAGACAGTTCAAGTCAGTCTGGTACACAAAGCAAGTTCCAGGACAGCCAGGGCTAGACAGTGAACCCCTGTCTCAAAAAACCAAATGAGAGAGAGAAGAATGCTTAACAGATCAGCCTACTGCAGATAATCCCTTAGGTCTTCACATTCTAAGCACTGTAGTGCAGACCAAATGGAAGCTGAAAGTCTTTTCCAAGATTTTTTTTCCTTCAAGATTTTTTTTTTTTTTTTTTTTTTGAGTTAATCACTACAGCAAGGCTCTTGGAGATAAGACCATTCAGGTTCAAGCCTCCACTGTATGGCTCTGGGTAAGTTTCTAAGCCTCCCTGTACATCAGGGTCCACATCTTCAAAGTGAAAGAAATAATTATTAGTAGTGTTGTGGAAACATTAAACAATTAATAATTCTGGCACACGGTTAGCACTTAATACATGCTAGCTAGTACTGTGAAGGCTAGTACTGCTTTCACAATTTCTATGAATTCCTAGTAGGCTGCCTCTCTCAATGTCCTCCCAGGAACTCTGCCCCAGGCTTCATGCTTCATCAAAATCTTATGACACAAAGTATTCATAGTGGTCAGCAATGGTCATTCAATGCATGTCCCTCTCAAGAAGAAAAATAGAAGAAGAGAGACAGGTGGTGCTAGGGTTTGAATATGAAACATCCCTCAGCGGCCAAATGTCTGGTCACCTGGAACCCAGCTGGGGATGCTATTCGGAGAAGTCATGGAACCTCCAGGCAATAACTAGAAACAGGAAGTGGATCACTGTGTGGGTCGGCCTTGAGGGATACTAGCCAGCTCTGCTTCCAGTCTGAGCATTCTTCTTCACCCACTGAGATGTGAACATGCCAGGCTATAAGCTCTTGTTACCATGGAGGGAGACCCAGCCACCATGATCTCCATCTTCAGTAGACTATACCCCTTAAACTGTGAGCCAAAATGAAGTTCTCATTTAAAATGCTCCTTATGAGGAATTTGTCCAGAGTGATAAGAACAGTATCAAAATAATACAAGAAGAGATCAGGCTGGAAAGATGGGGAAGTAGGAGGAAGAAAACTCAATTCCCCAAAGAATCACTCCATCTTTGCCTTAGTTCCTAACAACCACACTGTTAAATACTGTAGTGTGAGCCACAAATAACTGCAGAAATGCTCAGAGTGTAGCCAGAGTGGACCAAGCTATGTCACAAACTAAAACACATCAGGTGTCCAAAACAAAGTATTAAATAAAGTCAGTGTCTTAGTTAGGGTTTCCATTGCTGCAACAAAACACCATGACCAAAAAGCAAGTTGGGAGGAAAGGGTTTATTATGGCTTACACTTCAGCACTGCTATTCATCACTGAAGGAAGTCAGGACAGGAACTCAAACAGGGCAGGATCCCAGAGGCAGGAGCCAATTCAGAGGCCATGGAGGGGAGCTACTTACTGGCTTGCTTCTCCTACCTTGTTCAACACACCTTCTCATAGAACCCAGGACCACAAACCCAAGGATGGCACCACCTACCAGGGGTTGGGCCCTCCCCCATTAATCAATAACTGAGAAAATGCATTACAGCTGGATCTCATCAAGGTATTTCCTCAACTGAGGTTCTTTCCTCTGATGACTCTAACTTGCATCAAGTTGACACACAAAACTAGTATAGGCAGTGAAGATTTCTTTATGTATTTTGGTTATAATGAGTTAGATACAGCATTAGTAAAATTAATTTCACCATTCCTTTTCAAAAGTTTGCTACTGCTAAGATTTATAATTATACATGTGACTCGTATTTCTATTGGTCAGAGCTATTCTGGCATAAAATTGTGTTTCTATGCAAAGTTCCTTCTCCACTGTTGTAACAAGATGTCCCATCTCAATACATAAGCATGCTGATTTTATTTTTGCAGATGTGGAAGCCAAACCTGGGAGGGATGAGTAGGATTTTCCCAAGATCATATGGATAACAAAGAAGGAGGTCAGAACCTGAACCCAGATCTAATGAGAGGCAAGCTGAGTACTTTCCAATATTTAATGCTAAATCACCTGAGGCTCTGAATCAGTTTCTCAATGAAATGGTATCATTACATCACCATCCCAGGAAAACATAAAGAACAAATGTAGGGAAAAGGGGCTGGCTAGAGAAACCCACCCTGACCCTGGAGCCCAGAATTAGGGAAGGATGGCTCAGATAAAGCCAGTTAGAGAAACACAGTTTAGCTCAGATCAGGGCCATCTCTGCCCCTGTCCAACTGACCTGTGAAATCAACCAATCACAGAGAAGGACAGTAGAATCCTGGCCCTAGGGCCCAGGACCAGGGAAAGAAACACAGCCTGTGTTTGGGACCTGAGCCAGAGAAGTGAACACTTTATCCCCAAACCCAGAACCCAGGAAATATGCCCTGACTCTGAGACTAGTAGCAAAATAACACTCTTGGCCCCTAGAATCAGAGTCAGTGAAAGAAATGTGCCCTGGCCTTAGAGGCAGTATCAAAAAGCCAAGAAAGGCCA